CAGAAACAAATGAGACAGGAATATGATGTGATGTTTATGTATTTGAAAACAGAATTTTTGGCATCAGTGTCTCAGTGGGGTATTCTCTGCTGGCATTACGCCTTTTGTTATGTGATAGTGAAAATGAAAAGAGCAGGATTAAGGAGAGGAGGGGAGCGTGTTGATTGTTTATTTGCAAAGCAGCTCCTCCAGTCAGATCAAAGCAGGATTGTGAATGATCAACTCCCAGCATGCAAAAAAGATAAGAGAAAGAAAATCTGACATATGAAAAGCAATGTGTGCGCAGGGTTTATGAGAAAGCAATTAGACAGAGTGGCAAAAAAAAAGTTTTGTGGGTGAACAATAAGAGGCAGAAGAGATGAATGAGTGATCACAAAGACCAGGGGCTGATGAGCAGCAGACATGCTATGCGACCTGCAATGAAATGTTTAGATCTTGCTCAGAGACGCTGCCTCCAAGCCAAAAGTGTGTCACAGGAAAGCTGAGCTAATTCAGCAGGATAATGTTGCTTCAGTGAGTTTCTGCTGCATTCAGGCCTCCTGGTTAGCACTTACTGTTACTGTTTGTGCAGTTCAAGCTGCGAGAAACCAGAACACCGTGAACTACAATGAGGAGTTTAGCTTGTACACGGGCGAGCCAGCCCTGCAGCAAAACTCTGCTGGGAGGATCTGCACTCGTCACTAAACACTGCTCAGTCACTTGAAATTGGTTTTTTTTTCCTCCTCATGTGACCCTAAGAGCTCCAGAGGCTGGCAGTGCACCATAATTCAAAATGCAAAAATCAAAGCCTTGTGCACTCTCCAAGATCAATGTTATATTGGCAGAATTAATGACCTCAATATATGCAGTAGTGTAAAGCCAATGTATTAGCCATCACATTATTGTTTCTTATTCATGCAGCTTTTGTTTTTCAACTTGGATGAACACTGCGGTACTGACCTCATTTATAATACGTTTGAGCAATGATCAGTCGTTTCCCAAAATCAACACAATATATCAGCATACAACTAACTATATTATATACTAGAGGCTGGAATGATGTGTAATCTAAATGCAAATCTGAATGAGATATTAGACATATTATGAGCACTCTGAGCTCTTGACATACATATTTCTTCGTGAAATCATATACATAGTAATAGAACGTCATATATACATGTTTACTCATGGTTTTATGCATCTGGCTTCAGCTGTTAGCTGTTTTCCAGGCAAAGTTAACATAACATGGTCATCTTTATGTGCATGTTGGTAGAAAAAGATTTAAAAAAAAAAGATCTGGTGGCCAAAAACACTTCCCTCATGCAAGCCCACTGAGTGTGAAGGGTTTTTTGGCCCTAGAAGATATGCTTCTCTGTCTTGTTTATGCTGTTTGTAATATTACTTTGGTGAAAAGGTTAATTACAGTTTCATGAATGCTACAGACACGTTGATTATGGCTTGAAGGCTGTCAGTTATGCTTCAGGAAAAATTTGGAGGGAGTTGGAAGTATTTGACATTTCTATGTGTGTGCGTGTGGGGGGGGGGGGGGGGGGGGGGGGGTGAACTCATTCACTCATGCAAATTTTGTCACAGGGAACTTACTGTGGCACATTAACACACATGAAATGCACAAATGACCCGTGGCTAATGAAAGATGAACCCAAGGGAGCAGACTTAATTTATGCTTGAAGTAGTTCAGGGTTAGGCCTGAGGTGTTGGCCTTAAAGTTACTGATCAGCCCTACCTCTGTGGCTCATCACGGCCACATGATGTGGGGGCAAATAAAATAAACAATGTGCAACTCTGGAGCCGTGTCGTTCTCTTTCATGGAACTTAAATGTAAGAACAAGAAAAAAAGAAAAAACCTTTGCAGGTGAGCAACATAATCTTCACATTTTTTACATCTCACAAAGCCAGTGTGAGGGTTTATTGTTGAAATACTAAGAAGTTAAACTTTCAGCAGTAAATACTTGATTAGAAATTGAAGTCAAGTTTACCTTGAACTGCTATTTTTCAGTCATTTGGACCTTAAACGGTGGCTGTGCTTACGTAATAGAGAAACTGCTAAATTTAACAGCTTAATACATTACTTGGCCTCCACCAACAGCAAACAACAAATCATTTAACGAATACTAAAGACACAATATGTACTTTTCATTGTCTCAGTAGCAGATGATTAATTCCACCGTGAACTGTTGAAACTCTAACATTGTAAAATGTGCATATACCACTGTCTTGGTTCTGTTATTTTTCCAATACCTGCTGGGTTATATTCATATTCAAAACAAGAACTATCAGAAATTCCTTATAATCCAGTTATTGCAGCAATAAAAATGAAACAAAAATTAAACGTATAAAACAACAACAAAAATCAAAGATACTGTGCTCTGATCCAGTGTTTCAGACTCTTGAGTCTCTAAATTAGGGAACGGTTTACCAGCTTCCAGACTACTGTACTCTGGGTGAATACAGTGTTTATTAGTCCCTTGGTAATAGTTGTAGTAATAGATAGTGCATAGATCACTCCAGACATTACCAAGAAGTTCATCAGCAGTTCTTTGGAGATCTCAACAAAGTCACGTAGAATGACTTTCACAGGCTGGTAATCAACGTGTAACAAACGCTGGTAATGGATTACTATAACCAGGGCTGCTGCATCATCTCAGATCTGGCTCATCAGATCTAAGATGAATGAATGAGAGAGAGTGGTCGCAAACTAATCCACTAACTCACAAGATGGTTTTATGACAAGCCGTCTCTCCAATTCATCATCTTCATCGGAAAGGTGGTTTACGCTAGTTGAGACCCAGACGATTCTGCAAATTTTCATAATTATGTCTTTAAGCAGCTTTTGGTGTGTAGTAGTTATGTTACAACATGTAGGACAAAAAATTAAGTTCACAGTGTGGTTCATAATATCAAGAGTATGTTAGGAGAAGGTCAGGAGAGAGATATACCACTGAGTATCTGCAGCCGTCTCTAGAACATGATGGAGGCTGTGTCATGTTTGATGCTGGGTTTCAGCCAGTGGTGTTGGGGATCGTGTCAAAATTGATGGAATTATAAACACAGAAAAGTGCCTTCAGATTTTGATTGTGATCCACCATAAAATACTAGAAGGCAACTAATTGGAAACACCTTCGTGGCGATGATCCTAAACACACTGTCAATGCAGTAAAAGTATTGCAAGATAGAAAAACACAGAATGGAAAATTATAAGTCATGCACTGGACTCCCTTGAGCTCGGACCTCAGCATCATTAAAGCAGTGTGGCATCGTGTTAGGTCCAAAGAAGAGCTCTTTAATATCTTTTAAGAAACCAGGAGAATTATTCCTGAATGCTATTTAAAGAAATTACAAGAACGCTTGTCTAACAGTCTTCTGTAGTGATGAACTATAGCATCGCTGTAATTCTCCTTCTCCTGTCTTTTGTGCAATATTCATTCATTTTCTCTAGCATTTAGGCTGTATTGCATCAAAGTCATAGTCACTTACAGAACTGTGATTGTGCCAGCAGTCACATCCAGTGTCTGATTTTGAAGACCTTGCAGCTGTTTTAGCAAGAACAGTAACTTAATGGCTGGATGTAATGAGGTCTGCTCTACAGTGTAGCAGACCCAGCTGAAACACTTCAGTCCTCCTCAGAAAAGTATCAGTTATATATTCCACTTTGTCACTTGAAACAGTCGTCTGTTTTGCACAACACCGGGCTGATATAGATGTAGTCGGTGAGTTTTTATTTATTTCTTTATTTTTTACAGTTTTCCTTCAGATAATTTGGCAGATTTATTGCAGCAATTACGGTTCTCAGCTCTCAGGGTGCATTTCCTAAATCAGGCGGTCTGCAATACAGCAACAAAGCATGAGTGAATCACTTCCTGTGTGAATGTCCCTGAAAAAGCCAGGCCACCAGATCAGGGAACACTCCGTCACTCCATTTTCACAAATTGTCACTGAACTCACACCAAATATTCCCCCTCGGGAATCAGAAAAGAGCTTACATCCACTGCTTCTTCCTGTATTTTGTTATCTTTTCCTCGCTGGGCCACCACATATCCTTATTCCTCTTCCGTGACACTGCTGTTTCCTCTGTAAAATGTTTATCTGAGGAAGTCCCTCCATGTTCACAGTTGTTTCTTTATTGCACTCAAGCTCTCTAAATACATTTGACAATACTTGGACTCGTGGCTCACAGCCGTGACAATTAGATGGACTGTGAAAATGTCAGAAACATTTTTGACTCTGCTTTGGTAGCAGATGCATACACATTATTACAATTATGCCTAGTTATTTGCCTAAATGTACGCAAATACTAACAAAGAGTGAGAAATTCTTTATTCTCTCCTGATGTGCTCATGTAACAAACTGTTTTGAAAGATGTCTCACATTTTTTGACAACTTCAACCTATCTTTCAGAAGAAAAAAAGAAAAGTAAAGCTAGAGTGACACAGCAGTCTATATTTAGTGCCTTTTTAAAAAATATTTGGCTTTTAAATTTCTGTATGACTGTCGCAGCACAGAGTAAAGCTGAATTGTTTAAAGCGTTTTCTGTTGCAGGAATTCAAAAAAAGAAAAAGAGCTTCTTGTAATTGATGTACATAGTCAAATTACTGCTTTATAATTTTAGTGAGCAATTTGTTGAAGGCATATTGCATAAGCAGAAAAATATTCTCCTGTTCTAGTTCCTGCAGATTTATTGCCTCCAGAAGCATTTTCCTAATCTAATCTTGGGTTTTTAATTAAAATATTTTATCTCTTAAGATGTGATGTTTTCTTATCTTCAAAGACTTATTGAATTTCTAAATGAATGGAACACAATAAGCAATATTGAAGAGAATGAAAAACATGAAGAAAGGGCAATAATAATGCTCACTTCTGCAAGTCAAAGTTAAGCTGTCTAGCGAAAGTCTGACAGAGTCTTAGAGGACTTGGCTCGTAACTTCATTTTCATCATACTATAAATTAAAATGGCACAGTTTGTTATAATCCCTGAAGTTGATAAGGCATCTTTATTTTTACAGGATTTCTTCCTCTATGAGCCAGCTCTTCACTGACCTCAAAAACAAGCTCTTTGGCCGCCCCAGTGAGGTACAGTAGATCTACTTCTTTTTCCCTCCACCCCATCACCACTTTGATGTTCCGTCTTCATCTATTGCCTATTTTAGCATCTTATTGCCAGGAACAATATAAGTGCAGTACTAATGTGATGTTCGCTGTCTGGTTGCTGTTGTTGAATACATGAAAGCCGCTTAACCACCAGGAGAACTGGCTCATAAAGAGCTCCATAAAGACAGCACGCCTTGACCTTGCCTAGACTCATAGATCCTGAAGGCTGTGGGAGGCAGAACTTGTTGTCCTTTGCCGAGAATAATAAATCTCAGAGGGTGTGTGGTTGCTGAGGCTAAAACCCGATCAGAATAGAAATGTCAGAGTATTTGATTTTAAATCATTTGAATGTAACACGAGTACAGTAAGTATGCTAGTGTTGGATGAACATGAACAGACATGTTTTGTCATTTAGATGCTTGTACAGTGTTGCCCGCGAGCAGCAAGCATTGATGGAACGTAGCTGTGGTGCACAGCATCATGGCTACCCCGCTCTTGCAGGGCTTCCCTGAGGTACAGCACTGACTGGACTGATGATTTCACACTGGATTAATTTCAGTCTGAGCACAAATCTCTTCTGCAGTGCTATCTATAGGAGAAAACTCCACCAAACAACCATGGGGAGGTACCTGAACGTCTTTATTCTGCTAGCAAAGGAAGAATTCGTGTATGATTAGATACATAGAGAGATTAAGAATGATGCTGGATTTCATAGTCAGTTCAAATGTGAAAGAAAGCAGATAGATTATGTTTTTTATTCTTTTGAACGTGCCAACAGAGAATAAGAAAATGTGCTTGAATGCCCTGTGAATGTGTATTTTGCTAACTTTGCAGCGTCATTAAATGTAGCTCCTTAGTTTTTGTACTCAAAGACACAAATCAATACCCTTCCTGCAGTTCCTGCATTAGTGATTTCTTTTTTCTTTTGCTTCACTGAGTTGCAACACAAACACACACAACAGTGGCCCATTCATTGGGGCATGCTGAAACATCAAAGGTGACAAGTTTAAAAGCCTAACTCTTTTGCAGTCTTACGAACAAAAAGATCTTTGATAAATGTTTGAACACATACTGCCCCCTGTATTGTACTGACTGCATTGAATCAATGTTGCCTAAGAAAAGTACACTGAAGGGAGGAATCATACAACTCCAATACCAGAAGAGTTGAGAAGCTGTGTAAAATGTAAACAAGACTGCAATAATTTGTATATCTCTATCCATCCATCAATCCATTCATTCTGTTTGTCTAATTCAGTGTCGTGGGGGGCTGAAGCCTATCTCAGCTGCCATAGGGCGAGAGTCTCAAATCTCACACGTTCATATTTTATTCACAATAGAAAATCAAATGTTTAAACTGAGAAAATGTTTAATTTGAAGATAAATGTTTGCTCATTTTGAATTTGATGAGAGCAACACATGCAAAGAGCAAAGTTGGGACAGGGCTATGTTTACCACGGTGTAGCATCTTCTCTGTATTTAACAAAAGTCTGCAAACATCTGGGAACTAAGGAGTTTAGTTGCTGGACATTTAGGAGAGAAATGTTGTCCTATTCAAGTCCGATATAGGATTCTAGCAGATTAACAGTCCGGGGCCTTCTTTGCTGTATTTTTCATTTCGTGATGGTCCAAATGGTTTTAGTTGACGAAAGGTGCTGCTTGCAGGCTATGCTGCTGTAATAGATGCAGTATGCACTTAGCATTGTCTTGATGAAATGTGCAAGATCTTACCTGAAAAAACATCCTCTGGTTAGGAGCATATTGCTCTAAAACCTTTCAACACTAATGCTGTCAATTCCAAAGGCAGTAATTCTGCTCTGTACCATCAAAAATGCAGGTTTTTGGAGATCGCTGTTTGGTCGTGTTGGCGAACATAAGACAAAACTCAGACCACTAAAATGTCAGCATTTTTCCAACACACGCTTTCTAATGATGCCCTCGCACATTTCAAACTAGAATGACTCACCTCACATTCTTAAATGGATTTAAAGCACATGAACAATGTGCGTTAGCAGAGAGAAAAACAAGATATGCCTGTTATATTTGACTTTACAAAAATCAGCCTCTTCTTAGTTAACAGAGACAATACGCTAACTAAGAATAGTACAATATATACATATATATACATACATACATAAGTCACTTATAAATAAATAGTTGGAAAAGAAACATGTGTAGCTGTAGCAGCAAACAGTGTGTTAAGTGGATGCGTTGTACAGGGAGATGGCCACAGGCAGGAATGATTTCCTGTGTCGTTCAGTGGTGCTTTTCGGTAATCTCAGTCTCTCACTGAACGAGCTCCTGTGACTGACCAACATGTCATGGAGTGGGTGGGAGGTGTTATCCAACATTGTCTTTATCTTGGACAGCATCCGCCTCTCCGACACCACCTTGAGGAGTCCAGCTCCATCCCCACAACATTGCTGGCCTTACGGATCAGTTTATTAATTCTGTTGGCATCTGCGACCCTCAGCCTGCTCCCCCAGCATGCAACAGCATAGAGGATCGCACTGGCCACCACAGACTCATAGAAAATCCTCAGCATTTTCTGGCAGATGTTGAAGGACCTCAGTCGCCTCAAAAAATAGAGACGACTCTGGCCCTTCCTGTAAAGTGCTGTGGTGTTTTTAGCCCAGTCCAGTTTATTGTCAATGTGTACTCCAAGGTATTTATAGTCCTCCACAATGTCAACACTGACCCCCTGGATTGAAACAGGGGTCAAGTGTTTCCTGGTCTTCCTGAAGTCCACGATCATTTCCTTGGTCTTTGCCACGTTGAGCTGCAGATGATTCTGCTCACACCACGTGACAAAGGAGTCGACCACAGCCCGGTACTCTGTCTCATCATCCCTGCTGATGCATCCAACCACCGCAGAGTCATCAGAAAACTTCTGAAGATGGCAGGTCTCTGTGCAGTGGCTGAAGTCTGTGGTGTAGAGGGTGAAGAGGAAGGGGAGAGGATGTGCTTTGTCTCAATAATTTACATAATTCCCCTGTTTTCATTAACATAGTAAGACATGTAAAGTGCCTCTCTACTCACCATTTAGTATCCTCTTAGGATTTGATCCAGTATTGCTGTTTATTAATCACACAAACATTATACGCTGCACTTTTGTTTGCTGTTAATATTGTGTTAATCAACGGCTGTAAGAAGCACCATCATATATAATACTGCATTTCATATTAGTGCTAATTAGATACATAAAATCACTACATGCAAAATTTTATTTTGTCCATTATGTGAATTTAATTGGTGACAGTGAACAATCGAACACTCACACATTTGGAATTCAAATGGTTATTGTCATAAATGCATATGTTAATCGTGTGGATGCTGTCTGCAAAGATAAAGTGAATGCATTTATTCAGGATTGTTTATGTAAAACTAAAAGGGCAGAGCTGTTTGCGATTATCCAGGAGAAGCAACTGTATGTAACTCCATCAAATATTTGCCCTGTTAAACTGAACTGAGCGCACAGTAAACATGCTCAGATTTTCCTTGTGTTCTTTTTTCAGGGAAACACACTGTAGAGCATCAATGTTGAAATAGGGATTATGGCGTGTTTAGTTGGTTTCTTCACATCTTGAAACTGGGCCTCACTGCATAAAAGACAGCCTGCTTTCAGCCTGCAATCGATTACTTTGATCAGACTTGGTTTCAATTTTCTGTTTTTATTTCTGTTTCTGTTTTTATTAAGCGCTGTACTGATCTGTCAGAAGCAACTGACACGCTGACAACCTTTACAACTTTCTTATTCAAGACAAAACAGACACTGTATTCTAATGTGTGGCCAGGAATATCTTCCGCCCACTCTAAGATCTTCTAATATATTTCTTTTGTTGTTCTAAACTTAAACTAATTACACAGCATTGTAGATAATGGTGGAGAAAATTATGTGCCTCTCAGCTGTATACAGGAGCCCTAAGCCAAGGTTGCAGTCCTGCAGGGGATTTTGTGTCTCATGAGAACACTTTGTTCCATTAATTTGCATAGAGGCAATGGATTGGCTTTAATGGAGTTGCAGTACATCGCCTCACACAAAGTGATTTCATACAACTTGTTTTTAGAATGCTGAGTCTACTTCGGCCAAACGAACAGAAGTATTGCTGACACGATAAAAGGCACAGCTTCGCTTGTTTTAATAATCACTGGGAATTATCCCTGTACAGTGAGTCATTAGATGTTTGCATCATTTTTTTATTATAAAATTTACATTAATATAATAGATTTAGTCTTCGCGCGTGTGTGTATGTGTGTGTTGAGCGAGAGTGCTGTGTGCACTGTGTCCAGTTTGTGTAGGCATGTGTTGTGTTGCATTAACATGGTTTAATCCTCACCATGGCTTATTGGATACAAATCCTTCCCAAAGCTTTTAAAGCTTCTGCCTTTTCATTTCTGTCTCTCTGCCTCTCTCCCTCCCTCTCAGTGTCTTCTTTCTTATTTTTAACCTTTTTTCCCAAAATCAACCTATGTGGGGGTTTGAATAGATTTTTTTTTTTTGACACAATGTTAATAAACCACTCCTGATGATTAGCTGACCTGCCATTGCCTGCATGCAGTATTGTCAAACCTAAGCGGTCATGATACAATTAATGAAAGTACATACACGTTGTAAACTTCAGTCTGTCTCTTTCCCTTTTGCTAATGTCTCTGTAAAAAAACGTCTGGGCAGCACAGAGAGTCTCTCTTACTCTGGACTACTTGTTTGACAACTTCTGCACGAATCACTAGCTTGTGCCTATCCCTGATTACCCTTTCGCTAGATATAGTTGTGTCTGTTTTAGAGCAGGGCGATATGACCAAAACTATTTATCACGATATACATTTGAAAATTTGCGATAACGATATAACTGACGATATAATTGACACTAGACAAAATACTTTACAACTCCACAACTTTATTAGTGCAAAATACCCCATCTATGTATTTTCACTTAAACAAGCAGCTGCTTTTTTATGTGCATTAAAGTTATATAAAAATGTAA